AACCTTACAGACAGCTAAAAAGTTCATTGGTATCAATGCCAGTAGCTGTACCAAGTGGCTTTGGCTCCATGATTATGTAGGCACCATCAGGTGGGGGGTCAATCGGTTACTGAATAAGGAACCCCTATCAACCTCTGGAGGGACCCTGGAATTTCATGGAGCCCTGGTTGAAAATGGCAGCTATACAGTACCCCACACACGCTGTCAATTTTGTAGCATAAAACACTAATGATTGTCACATGAAAATAACAGCCTGACAAAATATCACAGTACGATATACAATTCAAAATACAGCTATGGGGGTTTTCTTTGTTTGTCATTCTGGTAATGTTCTCCTGAAGATGTTCTTTTCCATAAATATCACATAAGCATACAATCATTTTCTCATGAGTCATTATTTTTTTATCCAGTTTAAACAGCTCTGTTTTTGCTCTTCTTAGTAGATACCTCCTACAAGCTCACAATAAAAGCAGTATTAAACCAAAACACAAAAAATAATGTATATAGCTTGCTGATTCTTAAATCTGGTGGCTGCATTAGTTTTCTCTGTAAGGCTTTTTTTCATCTATTTTTACCCGGTAAAAATAAAGGTGATCCTGCCAGCAAGTCTGTTATTTTACACCTCTTCTTAACAGACCAAGCTGTCCAGCAAAAGTCTCAGAAGATTGAGACAAAGCATTTAGCACTGACAGGGATGCTTACAATGATCAGCTTGCATCCATTTATGTAGAACCTTTGTCCCAAAAGTAAAATAAATTGTTGCTATAATGGCTTATAAAGTGTTAGCTGGGGTTTGGCATTAAAGAATATGTAAAGCCAATATTTCATATTCCTGATATGTGCCTGCTGTATCATGTACTTGTATGAAAAAGTATCCTGTTGTCTTTGTATTGCTGCCATTGTGTGAAATCCCTGGTGTTTCTGCCAGTCCCTCTGCGTTCCTATTAAAAACTGACCACACTAGGCAGGTCAGTACGGCATGGTCAGTTTTTTTGGGCTGTAGAGCTAATCCAATGATCAGGCTAGTGCTGATATCCCCCCCCCCAGACACACACACACACAGCCAATGACTGGGAAGATTAGTGTACTTCAGTTTCTCCTCCCTGAGCTGTTTATGCACCGACGGAGAGCGTGTGATCACTTATGGAATGGGGGGAAAAAGTGTTTATAATGTTTTTTTTATATCTACACACAAATGTATTGCCTTTCATTTCTATTTTAAACGGTACGGTTTGTTTTACAAGGTGAGGGTTTACATATATATATTAATTTGTTAGTCAAGTCCATCTAATTTGCTAGTGCATATAAAGCTCTCCAGCTGGAGAATGTTGCTGTCCAAAGGTGTTTCTGTTACTTCTCCATCCAGAGTAGAGACACCCTAAGGCCAGGTTCACATATGTGCGGCTGTGCGGGCCGTTATTAGCCCATACATTTGAATGGACTCCCATGCCCCGGGACATACAGGGAAGAAGTCCCTGCACCTCGGAAATCTCAGCCTGCACGGGAACCTCGGTTCCCAGTACGATTGCAATTTCTAGTGGAGGCGGCGTAACATTAGAATTAATGGCACTTGCCGTGGGTCCCGCATTCCTCTGTGTGGGTGGTGCGGCTGCAGGTATTTGTGCGGGTCCCGCATTGGCACCACTCGCACAGATATGAACCAAGCCTATAGGTAGTAAGTGTGTTACTGGCAGGATCACCAGCTGAAAATAAAGAAAACAAATTCTAAAAAAAGAAAACTAATGCAGCTACCACATTTAAGAATTGGTAAACTACAATATATTACATTTTTGGTTTGGGGTTTATTACTGCTTTAGAATGCAGTGTTATATTACTGTGATCCTCTTAGTGAAGCATTACACACAAATGCACAAGAAACAATTGTATGGCGTGCATACTGTCAATTCAACTGATTCAAACACACTTGAAATGCAAAACAGTTTTTGATCTTTTTTAAAAAAAATGAGTGTAAGGCTCCATGCACACTGGGCGTTTTAATAATGCTGCTAGCATTAACTGTGTAAAGTCACGTTAAAGCGGGGGGTTTTTTAGCGTTTTTGCATTAGCGTTTAGCCATGTTTTTCTGTGTTTGTGTTTTTTCTTTGCCAAAAAATATATTTTTTTTGCTCAAGAAACAGCCAAAAAGGCTAGTTAGAGCCTTCGAGTTAGTTAGAGTTAGAGTTACAACTAAAAAATTCTAGAAACCCACTAGTCCTGGGGTTTTTTTCCAGCCAAAGAATGCCCCTGACAAAAAACGTTGATTACAGCCAAAGTGTGCATGGACACATAGGATAACATGCTGGGGTATTTACTGATAAAAAAAGCCAAAAGCCAAAAACAGCCGCTGTAAAAACGTCCAGTGTGCATGAGGGCTATAAATGAGCAACGATGACATGGTAATATAAATGTCACATGCGTTACCCTTCTGTTATCTCTGTGGTCATATCATTTCTTTATTTTATCACTGACCAGTCACACTATTTACCGCTCTGTTCTATTTTCATGCTGCTAAAGGCATTGTTGAACGTTGTACTTTTTATGACGTTCTGGACTGAGGTTCTGAAACGATTGCTTTCACTCTGGAATATAATCTACCTGAGAGTTGTCCTTCACTTCTTACAACTTTACTGGAAATAGGGCACAATAAAATGAATGTTTCCCTATAAATACATAACACACATTTTATGGCAAGCCTTTCTATAGCTCCTTATTAAACCAAAAATGCAACACCTAGGAGCAGCGTGCGTTACTCTCTACTAAACAGAATAAATCCCAGATTGCTGTGATTCCAGGAAAACCAAGTTGCTGTGGGATACTGCACTTTGTACGCTGGAAATGATCTTTATACGGCTTTGTTACACGTGGGTGCGCCGATAGCTACAGGTGTGACTTGGGGAACTCCAGTCTTGTGACCCAATATTCAAACTCCCAGAATGTCATCTAAACAGATCAGGCGACTTTGTGTCACAGGTTGTACAGCAATGACGATGAAAGGGCTCGGTAACAGAATTCTCTGATATGTCATAGAAGTCGCATTAATAAAACGACGCCTAGTATACTCAGAGCTGAATTTCTTACCTGATCTTTTGCTGGGATAACTAATTCTCCAAATGTCAAGCAGCTGAATTAGTGGCGGCAGGAATGTAGCGGGGTCATAGAGTGTCCTTTTGATGTAGGCTTGTCTTCTGATGAATATATAAGGTGGCAGGTACAGCCTAGTCTACAGGAGTGCAGGATTAGGTCGCTTCCAGCCACAAGTGCGAAGACTGTCCCCTCTAAACGCAGTGACACAGCTGGATGTCCGCTCTGTAGACTTTTTGTTGTTGTCACCCTAATCTGCCCCCTATGTAATAGTGTCTGCGGCAGCCCAGGCACTGTGTGCGATAATAGTATTGGATGTCTACCCAACCCTCTGACTTTTTTTTTTTTCCTCTCCCTGCTGTTACGCTGGTGTGCCCTTTATAAGTTCAGTCTATTTCCCAGCTGTAACCCCGCCTCTCCCCAGTTCTCTTCTCTCTTCATATCTATCCTGAGACTGACACCATCAGGATGGAGAACACTGCTGACATTCAGCAATCAACCTGCTACATAGGCGACATGTGCTTGAAGCAGATCAATGGGAAAACATTGTATGGGTTAGGATGCCTTCTCATTGTGGGAGGACAGATCAGTCTAGGATATAGTCTTCATGAATATGGAAATCCCTTCCACATTTCAGGGGAGTCTGTGCCCAACAAAAGAGCCCCTGAACATGCAGCAGTCTACAAATTCTCATACATCCCAACACTTAGGGCTCCTTTACATCACTATGCATTGTTGCATGTGCGTTTGCATGCGTTTTCACTGTCTTCGTTTTTTGGAATTTTATTTATTTGAATTCATTTTCTCTACTAAGTTACATTTACAGGTATTCACATTCATTTGCAGCGCATTTTCATCCACATTTGCAGGGTGTTAACATGCATTCACATGCATTTGCCGTGTGTTTACAGGTATTCACGTGCATTTGCAGTGCATTCTGATGCTTTTTTAAGTGTTTTTTTATTTATTTGAATTTATTTTTTAAATAAATTGCATTAATATGTTTTGTGTGTGCATTTCCTGTGTATTTACATGCATTTACAGTGTGAACAAGCATTTGCAGTGCATTCTGGTGCCTTTTAATTATTTTTTTTGTAATTTTTTTATTTGAATTTATTTTTTGTACTAAATTGCATTTATATGTTTTTGTGTACATTTGCTGTGCATTTATAGTGCATTTGCATGCATTCACATGCTCTTGCAGTGCGTTTACAGGTATTCATGTACATTTGCAGTGTGAACATGCATTTACAGTGCATTCTGTGATTTTTTTAAAAAATTTAATTTAATTTATTATTTGTATTAAGTTGCATTTATATGTTTTTGTGTGCATTTGCTGTGCATTTATAGTGTATTTACATGCATTTGCAGTGTTTTTACAGGTATTCACATGCATTTGCAGTGTGAACATGCATTTACAGTGCATTCTGGTGCCTTTTAATTTTTTTTAATTATAATTTATTTTAATTTATTTTTTGTACTAAATTTCATTTATATGTTTTTGTGTGCATTGGCTGTGCATTTATAGTGCATTCACATGCATTTGCACCACATTTACATGCATTCACATGCATTTACAGTGTGTGTTTTTACAGGTATTCATGTACATTTGCAGTGAGAACATGCATTTACAGTGCATTCCCGTGCTTTTTTTTTTAAATGTAATTTATTCTTTGAACTAAGTAGCATATACAGGTGAAACTCGAAAAATTAGAATATCGTGCAAAAGTTCATTTATTTCAGTAATGCAACTTAAAAGGTGAAACTAATATATGAGAGAGACTTATTACATGCAAAGCAAGATAGTTCAAGCCGTGATTTGTCATAATCAGGGGCGGACTGACCATTTGGAAACTCGGGCACTGCCCGAGGGCTGGGGTCAGTAGGGGGCCCCATGAGATGCCCCTGGTACCTTTTTCATAGGCTTTTTTGAGTTTGGGCAAGGACACAGGGGCCCCATGATCCCCTATTGCCCAGGGGCCCATGAGTTATCAGTCCGCCCTTGGTCATAATTGTGATGATTATGGCTTACAGCTCATGAAAACCCCAAATCCACAATCTCAGAAAATTAGAATATTACATGCAATCAATAAAGCAAGGATTGTACATAGAACAATATCGGACCTCTGAAAAGTATAAGCATGTATATGTACTCAGTACTTGGTTTTGGAACCTTTTGCAGCAATTACTGCCTCAATGCAGCGTGGCATGGAAGCTATCAGCCTGTGGCACTGCTGAGGTGTTATGGAAGACCAGGATGCTTCAATAGTGGCCTTCAGCTCTTCTGCATTGTTCGGTCTCATGTCTCTCATCTTTCTCTTGGCAATGCCCCATAGATTCTCTATGGGGTTCAGGTGAGGCGAGTTTGCTGGCTAGTCAAGCTCCGTAATCCCACGGTCATTGAACCAGGTTTTGGTGCTTTTGGCAGTGTGGGCAGGTGCCAAGTCCTGCTGGAAAATGAAGTCAGCATCCCCATAAAGCTCGTCTGCGGAAGGAAGCATGAAGTGCTCCAAAATCTCCTGGTAGACGTCTGCGTTGACCCTGGACTTAATGACGCACAGTGGACCAACACCAGCAGATGACATGGCTCCCCAAATCAACACAGACTGTGGAAACTTCACACTGGACTTCAAGCATCTTGCAGTGTGTGCCTCTCCATTCTTCCTCCATACTCTGGGTCCTTGGTTTCCGAATGAGATGCAAAAGTTGCTCTCATCAGAAAAGAGGACTTTGGACCACTGAGCAACAGACCAGGTCTGTTTTTCTTTAGCCCGGGTAAGACGCTTCTGACGTTGTTTGTTGTTCAGGAGCGGCTTGACAAGAGGAATACGACATTTGAAGCCCATGTCCATGATCCGTCTGTGTGTGGTGGCTCTTGATGCACTGACTCCAGCCTCAGTCCACTCCTTGTGAAAGTCCCCAACACTTTTGAATTGCCTTTTCCTGACAATCCTCTCCAGGCTGCAGTCATCCCTGCTGCTTGTGCACCTTTTTCTTCCACACTTTTTCCTTCCACATAACTTTCTATTAATGTGCTTTGATACAGCACTTTGGGAACATCCAACTTCTTTTGCAATTACCTTTTGAGGCTTTCCCTCCTTATGGAGGGTGTCAATGATGGTTTTCTGCACAACTGTCAGGTCAGCAGTCTTTCCCATGATTGTGTCTCCTACTGAACCAGACTGAGAGACCATTTAAAGGCTCAGGAACCCTTTGTAGCTGTTATGGCTTAATTAGCTGATTAGAGTGGGACACTTTGAGCCTAGAATATTGCACCTTTTCACAATATTCTAATTTTCTGAGATTGTGGATTTGGGGTTTTCATGAGCTGTAAACCATAATCCTCACAAATTATGACAAATCACGGCTTGAACTATCTTGCTTTGCATGTTATGAGTCTATCTCATATATTAGTTTCATCTTTTAAGTTGCATTACTGAAATAAATGAACTTTTGCACGATATTCAAATTTTTCGAGTTTCACCTGTATATGTTTTTGTGTGCATTTGCTGTGCATTTATAGTACATTTACATGCATTCACATGCATTTGCACCACATTTACACGCATTCACATGCACTTCCAGTGTGTGTTTCCAGGTATTCATGTACATTTGCAGTGTGAAAATGCATTTGAAGTGCATTCCGGTGCTTTTTTTTTTAAATTTAATTTATTCTTTGTACTAAATTGCATTTATATTTTTTGTGTGCATTTGCTGTGCATTTACATGCATTTGCAGTGTGTTTACAGGTATTCGCATACATTTGCAGTGTGAACATGCATTTGCAGTGCATTCTGGTGCCTTTTTAATTTTTTTTGTACTAAGTTGCATTTATATGTTTTTGTGTGCATTTGCTGTGCATTTATAGTGCATTTACATGCATTTGCAGTGTGTTTACAGGTATTCACATACATTTGCAGTGTGAACATGCATTTTGCACTGCATTCTGGTGCCTTTTTTATTTATCTTAATTTATTTTTTGTACTAAGTTGCATTTATATGTTTTTGTGTGCATTTGGTGTGTATTTATATGCATTTACATGTATTCATATGCATTTGACGTGCATTTGTGTTAACATGCATTTGCAGTGCATTCTGGTGCTTTTTTTTTAATTTATTTTTTGTACTAAGTTGCATTTGCTGTGCATTTATAGTGCATATATATGCATTCACATGCATTTGCAGTTTGTTTAAAGGTATTCACGGGCATTTGCAACGCATTTACACACATTCACATACATTTGCAGTGTGTTAACATGCATTTGCAGTGCATTCCGGTGCTTTTTTTTGAAAGTTTTTCTATTTGAATTCATTTTTTTTCTACTAAGTTGCATTTATACGTGTTTTCATGAATTTGCAGTGCATTTATAGTGCATTTGCACACATTCACATGCATTTGCGGTGTGTTTACATGCATTTGCCGTGCGTTTTTGGAATTTTTAAACACTTATTTGAATACATTTTTTTTCGACTACGTTGCATTTATATGTGTTTTCATGTATTTTTGATGCATTTACAGTGCATTTACATGCATTAATGTGCATTTGTGGTGTGTTTACCTGCATTTGCAGTGCATTACAGTGTGTGTTTTGGAATGTTGTTTATTTATTTGAATTCATTTTTTTCTACTAAGTTGCATTTATATGTGTTTTCATGCATTTGCGGTGCATTTACAGCGCATTTACACGCATTCACGTGCATTTACAGTGTGTTTACATGCATTTGCAGTGCATTCCAGTGTGTTTTGGGGGTTTTTTAAACACTGATTTGAATTTTTTTTTGGCTAAATGAGTGCATTTACACTCATTCACATGCATTTGCAGGGCAGCACAGTGGCTAAATGGTTAGCACTTCCGCCTGGCAGTACTAGGGTCGTTGGTTCAAATCCCAACCACGGCACCACCTGCCTGGAGTTTGCATGTTCTCCCTGTGCCTGCATGGGTTTCCTCAGGGTACTCCTGGTTTCTTCTCACACTCCAAAGACATGCTGGTAGGTGAATTGGATCCTGTCTAAATTGGCCCTAGTATGTGAATGTATGAATGTGAGTTAGGGACCTTAGATTGTACACCCCTTGAGGGTTAGGCACTGATGTGAATGTAAAGTGCTGTGTAAATTGATGGCGCTATATAAGTACCTGTAATAATATTCCAATCAAAAAAATCAATCAGAATAGAAAACAATTATTTATCAAAGTGTGTACGATCTCCGTGATGTTAAATGCACAGAGCCATAATCTAATGACAACCATACACGCTTTGATTGCATCCTATCGATATGCGATTCTATCAAAGTGGGAAACAATAAAATAGGCATAACTACACTTCTGTTAGAACAGATTCAATCAAATCAAGTCCATTGGCCAGGGTGGAAAATTGTGGATCCTGTTGAATGGATCAGCAGCACGGAGAATGCATGAAATGGTCTGCAAAGTGCTTGCAGTATTTCGATACAGTGTTTCTTGTACCATTAAATGTAAGCACATATGCATATATACGTCCGATTACTCGTGTTTAAAGTGTTACTAAACCCACAGCAGTAAAATCAATCTGTATATGCAGTAAAGCATGCTTGTTATACCCACTAAGGAACCTAAGGGGTTAATCGTGCACATTGAGTAAAAAGGCTCTTTGGTCCTGTTTTCTCTGCCCTTCCTCTTGTTCAAATGTCCACCTGCTAAGACAGACTGAGCCTGTAGTCGCATGCACATGCTCAGTTTAGTGTATATTGCTATAGAGGTTTTTTTTTCTTCAGAGAGTGCATGTGATCAGCACAGGGCCAATCAGCACTTCCAGACAGAGGTCAGGGGTTTTGCATCCTCCTAGAGCAGAAAGAAAACTCCTCCTACAATCTTTAACCAGTGCTCTGCTGAAGTCACAAGACTGCTCTAACTGCTGATGAGAAAATATATTTAGCAGTTTATATTTATTAAAATAATTGCATTTCCATATTCTGTGTACTGTGGGAGACCAGATATAGTGAATGCAGGGTCCGGGGTTTAGTTACACTTTAAGTCTTCATGCACAAGGTCGCATGAGACTGTAGCTTCAGTTTACAGCTACTCTTAGCAATTAATTTTTAGTAGGTATACACTGCACTTATGTAAACTTGCGTAGATTGGTGAATGCGCATTTGCCACATTTACCAATTTGCACATGTGCACCCAGGTACGATGTATACCCACATACAGCTATTCATTACTATGGACAGCTGTAGGCTACAGCTGTGTCCCCCCAGTGCAAAAATGCACCCACAGTTTGCATTGTATAGCCTAAGGCCTATATTCGTACACATGTAAAGTACTGACCTTTGAGGCAGTTGTCCTTTTTTTTTGGTCTGATGTTTGGATGGTTAAGAAAAAATAATTAAAAGCCCACTATAGAGAAAATGATTGTACTCTGGCAAATGTATATTTATATATATATATATATATATATATATATATATATATACTACCTACCTGGAGTTTGCCTGTCCTCCCTGTGACTGTGTGAGTTTCCTCCCACACTCCAAAGACATGCTGGTAGGTTAATTGGCTCCTGTCTTAATTGGCCCCAGTATGTGTATGTATGAATGTGAGTTAGGAACTTTAGATTGTACACTTCATGAAGGTTAGGGACTGATGTGTATGTACAATATATATGTAAAGTGCTACGTAAATTGACAGTGCTATATAAGTACCTGTAATATTTATACTGTGTATATATAGTTGTTAACAGCTGTAATGATAGCATTCTGTACATCATTTTTACTATTTGTAGCACTACCCCCGCAGGAGCCACTGGTAATGTGTTCTTATGTTCCCCCTTAGAGCACACATATCCAGGCACACAGCATTTTCAGCATTCTTCCTCTGGCTCAAAGATCAGTCTAGGGGTTTATTTTGTCTTTTTTTATTATTATTATACAGGATTTATATAGTGGCAACAGTCTGCACAGCGCTTTACAACATAAGGGCAGACAGTACATTTACAATACAATTTCATACAGTAGGAATCAGAGGGCCCTGCTTGTTAGAGCTTACAATCTATAAGAATGAGGAGCAATGAACCTGGATAGGGATAGGGAGCATGGCAGGGCCAGTGCTAGACCAGCTACTTGCCCCCCCCCCCCCAAAAAAAATAAATAAATACAAATTTTTAAAAACAGAAAATATTAAATCAACAAAACACAAAATTGCTAAATTTCTTTAAATGTGCAAAAATAAGTGCCAATACCAATATTATAGACAAAATCATTGTCACGGATGGACTGTCACTGTGGCTGGCAGTAGCAGGGTGACAGTTGCAGTGAGCAGAGGATGATGGATCCACACTCAGAGATCCCAGGCTGGAATTCCCCAGGCAATGGGGGGAAATAAAACACTGTGACAGCAGGCAGCCCAGCTCACACACATACAGAGAACACATGAACTTGGCGATCCCACACAGTGACAAATCTGACACAACACACCACCACCAACACTGACCCAGATCAGCAGCCCAGCAGACACTAGAGTAGCAGGCTGTGGGACTGTGATCATGTCATCACTCACTGACACATTGCACATGTGATGGATGGATGGCCAGGTCACACTCACACAGACACGAGACATCAGACATTTTCTTCCTCTGCAGGCTCAGCTCCGCCTCCACTGATGAATGGGAAGAGAAGGGCTGGAACTCCACAGTGATCAGCAGCTGCCAGCCAGCTTGCAGTAAGGGACTGAGTCTGAGAGGAACATTGGAAGGAGCTGCAGCTCAGCTGCTACACTGGCCCCAGACACCCTGCATCTTCCACTGTCATTTCTTTCTCCCCTCTGCCGCCCCTTCCTCTCAGCTGAAGGATCATTCATGACATGGCGGCATCCCACACAGAGGGAGTGCCGGTCTGTGCTGCACCAAGGCGCCCCTAGGTTGCAGTGCGCCCAAGGCGGCTGCCTAGTTTGCCTAGTGGAAGCACCGGTCCTGGAGCATGGGATACCCTGGAATTATAGAACAACTTGAGGACTGCTAAACTCGTGGCTGATCTGTACAAAAATGTAGACTGTATTGCACAACCTCTGGCTGCACTGTACCCTCTTGGCTGTCTTGCACAACTGGTTGTACAGGGCAAACGTCTAAGCAGTATTGCACACTCCTCGCTGCACTGCATTTTCTTGGGGGGTTGGAGGGTTAGGCCACCTCACATTCACTTCTCCTTTATATAGCAGGATCAGTTACTTACTAAGTCCCACAATGGTTGGGCTTCCTCCCACCAACTTTCTTATGACTCAGCTCAGTTTGTGAATACAGTTCTCTTCAGTAGACCCCTCAGCTAAGCCCAGCTGGGACCTTGAAGTCTTAAAGGCTCCTCTGGCTTTCTCTCTGCCTCTCTTTGTCCCAGGGTACAGAGACCCTACTCAGACATCCCCTTCTGATGGACTGGACCCAGGAACTCTGCTAGCAGCTGCCAGACTTCAGAATATTTATGTGCTCTCCCTCCACCTTCTGGGCACACCTCCCCAGGGAGTGGTTTGGAGTTTCTTCTACTGCCTGTTCTGCTCTCCTTCCCACTATACTTCTACTTGTCTTTAGAAGACAAAAGGGAGTAGCAGAACAGGAGCCTGTGAGACATTGAACCGCCCCAAGGAATCAACACCCACTCCACTATTTACAGGGGAGTTAACTAAATTTACCTAGCAGTCTACTCTGAACTACGAGGGGTGCTACATATTTCACATTTCCCTGTTTGTAGTCTTATGTACTTTTATGTAATAACCAAGCTGTCCAGCAAAATTGACAGTTACAGGGATTCAGACAAACTATTTTTCTTTTGAATGCACACAGTGTGAGCACATGAACATCACTTAGTATCAGCCTCTCGAAGACCACTAAAAAAGAGCCAAATGGGGGGGAGGAACCCACACAATGGGGAAAGAACCAGCACAAGGAACCTGTAAGTTCATGCACCTACAAAAAAATGTGCTGATAGGAGGAGAAAGCAGAGCAACTGAGAAATGAGCTCATCATTGCACTTCTTTTGCTTCGCTGTCTTATCAAAGGTTGGGGTTGAGCCTGTTAGGGCCTGGGCTCAGAGAAAATGGATGATGATGCTGTCTGACACTCAACCCAAAAGATTGAGGACATCTTGTGGAGAGAAAGAAGTACTATGGGGACAGCTCTGGTTTGAAGGTAAGTATTGCAGCAAAACCATTTTTGTTATTTTTTTTACTGTTGACTATTAAGTAATTAAACTGTTTTGTTTTTTTGTTGCTGTTAATTGTTTCCCTTTGGTTATGCTTTACATCTGAATCCCAGCCTGATATAAAAGACACAAATGAAATCAGCTCTGCATTCATTAAATGCAAGTAGTTTATAAAACTGAATTTAGGTTTGTGTTAGCCTCTCACAGTTCATGTACAGCAAAGCTCAGAGTGTGAGAGGTAGAGGCAGCACCAGGAGCAAATCAGTTCATGTACTGAAAAGAGACATGCTGATAGGAGGAGAGAGTAGAGTGATAAAGAGATGAACTCATCACTGTGCTACCTCTCTTTTCACTGTTCAGTCACAGGTTGGGGGTGGGTACATGACAGCCTTGATTTAGAGGAAATGACAACGTCAGCAACGTTCAACCTAAGGCCAAGGGGACAGTTCAGGATTGAAGGTGAGTATTGCATCAATAGTTGTTTTTTTTTTTTGTTTAATATGTTAATGGTCTATTCATTTTTATTATGATTTTGACTGGAGTTCTACTTTAACATCCATCTAAAACTACCCTAGCTACAAGTTGACAATGTTGCAGATATTCACTGGAGAACAAGCTGTTACAGGACTGCACTCTGCTCCAGGAAGTGGAAAATCAACAGATCTCCTGGCAGGTCCAACTGATGATAAAGCTAAGTTCCATTAGCACAGAAAACCAAAAACCACAAACTGCAAAATACATGTCACTTTTGTTTTTTGCCCAAATAATTTAAATTGATTCTAAAAGGCTTTTTTTTTTCTTGTTACCTCCTACTGCTTACCTGCTGTGTGCAGTAGTTTTATACAGAGCAGCCTGGATCCTCCTCTTCTTGGGTCCCCAGCCAGAGCTCCTCGCCCCTCCCTCCTGTTGAGTGCCCCCACAGTAAGCAGCTTGCTATGGGGGTACCCACTGCTCCTTGCATCCATTCACACACAGAGCCGTGTTGCGACACCACCTCCTCTCTCTTCTCATTGGCTCACTGGCTGTAATTGACAGCAGTGGCAGCCAATGGCTCCTGCTTCTGTCTCAGCCAGTGAGGAGAGGGAGTCCTAGGATAGCCGAAACTCCAGTGCACATCGCTGGATCAAGAGGGGTTTAGGTGAGTATTGGGGGGGCTGGGGGGAATGCTACACAGAGAACATTTTTTACCTTCATGCGCAGAATGCATGAAGGTAAAAACCTTGACCCCTTAGAACCATTTTAATTAGCAAAATAGTTATACTACACTAAATCTTGCACCCAGCCATTTTATTATTGCATTTAGTATAAGAAACCATTATAAAAGGAAAAGTAGTGGGTTGAACCATTGTAATAATTTTTTGTGAACTGCTGAAAGGAGAATTGAAGGCAAAACTTGTTTTTCAGTTTTGGATACAGCAACTCCTGTCAGATTTTTTTCCATCTACAGTATGTTCTATTTGGGAGATTTCCCTTCACTTCCTGTCCCATAGCCAAAACAGCAAGCGAGAGGAAATGTCACTGGCAGGGGCTGACTGGCCATTTGGAAACTTGGGCACCGACTGAGGGCCCGGGGTCAGTAGGGGGCCCCATGAGATGCCCCTGGTACCTTTTTCATAGGCTTTTTTGAGTTTGGTCAAGGACACAGGGGCCCCATGATCCCCTATTGCCCGGGGACCCCATGAGTTGTCAGTCCGCCCCTGCTCCCTGGTTGCCACCAGAGTCACCCCATTGAAAGATTCCCATTTTCTGCTGGCAACCCAACATTTGGGATTTTTTTCATTCTCAGTGATAATGGTAAACAGGACAAACAGAGAAGGTGATTTTCCCTAACAGGGGTACAGACAGCAATTGGAACCTGACAGGTGTTCTATTTCCTCTCCACTCCACTGAGAATAAACTTGCCTTTATTTAGGCTGCTTTCACATTGATGCATTTTTTTCTGCATTTTTACCTTGCTAAAACAGCAAAAATGCAATCCCTTTAAATCCTATGGGACTCTTCACACCACTGCACTGCAGGTCCGGTGCGTTTTGCATTTTTGGTGCAGTTTTCAAAACCTCACCGAAAACGCAGCTGCCCATTGCAATGAATGGAAAATGTAGCAAAAATGCATCAAAAAAGCATCTGAATTGAATTTTTATATTTCAATGATTTTTATTACTTTATAAACATTTTAAAAAACAGGAGCAACAAGACATGTCCACGCAGAGGCCATCAATTGCACATAAAAAACATTGGTATAACATGGACGGTAACTCAAACCAAAGGCAGATATCCACTGCCACACCAAAAACAAACAGAAATAGATAAGGAAGGAGGAGTAGAAAAGGAAAAAGATGACAAGACCGTGAGCAGGGGTCTCATTATCATTTTTGGTGCATTTTTTGAGTCGCATGTCCATGTTTCCCAGGTGCATGCAGGGAGGCAGGCACTCAAAAAATTGGAAACACACCAGAAGCACATAAAAAGTGCAGCAAAAACATATACTGTATTTTTCGCTCCATAAGACGCACTTTTTTCCCCCCAAAAAAGGGGGGAAAATGTCAGTGCGTCTTATGGAGCGAATATAAAGCGGCCGGTCCGGTATTTTTGCGGCCACCATGTCAGAATACCGGGCCGGCCGCTCAGCTGTTGTCTCCTGCAAGGCCTTACCTGTTCCTCGCTCCAGCGCTGCACAGTCTTCCCGCGCTGGCTTCTGTGACAGCCGGGTGCCCACTGCGCATGTGCTGTGCTTTGTGAATGATCCGGTGTCTTCTGGGACACATGAAAGGTCCCAGAAGGTGCCCGGCCAATCACAAAGCGCAGCGCTTCTCGCACATGCGCAGTGGGCACCCGGCTGTCACAGAAGCCGGCCCGGGAAGAAGAGGGAAGGACAACTCCGCGGAAGTGGGAGCGGGTACCTGTCAAATTCAGGTACCCGCTCCCCCTCCCTCCCCAAAGGTCAGCAGTCTCTGGTCATTCCCTTCACTGTCTGCAGTCTCTGGTCATTCCCTGCACTCTCTGTAGTCTCTGGTCATTCCCTGCACTCTCTGCAGTCTCTGGTCATTCCCTGCACTGTCTGCAGTCTCTGGTCATTCCCTGCACTGTCTGCAGTCTCTGGTCATTCCCTGCACTGTCTGCAGTCTCTGGTCATCTCCTGCACTGTGTCCGCAGTCTCTGGTCATCTCCTGCACTGTGTCAGCAGTCTCTGGTCATCTCCTGCACTGTGTCCGCAGTCTCTGGTCATCTCCTGCACTGTGTCCGCAGTCTCTGGTCATCTCCTGCACTGTGTCCGCAGTCTCTGGTCATCTCCTGCACTGTGTCCGCAGTCTCTGGTCATCTCCTGCACTGTGTCCGCAGTCTCTGGTCATCTCCTGCACTGTGTCCGCAGTCTCTGGTCATCCCCTGCACTGTGTCCGCAGTCTCTGGTCATCCCCTGCACTGTGTCCGCAGTCTCTGGTCATCCCCTGCACTGTGTCCGCAGTCTCTGGTCATCCCCTGCACTGTGTCCGCAGTCTCTGGTCATCCCCTGCACTGTGTCCGCAGTCTCTGGTCATCCCCTGTACTGTGTCCGCAGTCTCTGGTCATCCCCTGTACTGTGTCCGCAGTCTCTGATCATCCCCTGTACTGTGTCCGCAGTCTCTGGTCATCCCCTGTACTGTGTCCGCAGTCTCTGGTCATCCCTACTATGTCTGCAGTCTCTGGTCATCTCCTCTACTGTGTCTGCAGTCTCTGGTCATCTCCTGTACTGTGTCCGCAGTCTCTGGTCATCTCCTGTACTGTGTCCGCAGTCTCTGGTCATCTCCTGTACTGTGTCCGCAGTCTCTGGTCATCCCCTGTTCTGTGTCTGCAGTCCATTGGTTCAGAATATTTTTTTTTTTCTTGTTTTTCACCTCTAAAACCTAGGTGCATCTTATTGTCAGGTGCGTCTTATGGAGCGAAAAATATGGTAGGTGTTTTTGGTACAGAGCATTGTAAAAACAGCCGTATACTTTAACTGGGGACTTGGTTTACAGCCTTTGTACTAAAAGGTGTCCTCACCCATCTCAGATAGTTGGGAGCAGGGGCGGACTGACAACTCATGGGGCCCCCGGGCAATGGGGGATCATGGGGCCCCTGTGTCCTTGCCCAAACTCAAAAAAGCCTATGAAAAAGGTACCAGGGGCATCTCATGGGGACTCCTACTGACCCCGGGCCCTCGGGCAGTGCCCGAGTTTCCAAATGGTCAGAGCCCGCCCCTGGTTGGGAGGTACATTTATCTATTTATAATGTCATCATATTTAGTCTTACAACATACTAGTGAATTTATTACAAATGTAGATTACTTGTCACTGGATGAAACACCATTGCTACACACTCCCTGGCATTAGTTATCCATACTGCTGCTGTAGCCATGCATTGGAAATGCTACTGTGATTGAGCTGCAGTGTGTGATGTTCACAGCAAACTGCACTTCAAATGTAAGGGCTGAGAACAGGGATTAGTCCATACAATAAATAGATGAATAAGAAGAAGTCCTTGTAACACTTTTCTTTATTGTACAACAAATTAATTGGAAGAGATAATCCTTTTGGCAACAGTTTTAAGGCGTATACACAGTCCTTCATCAGTAGACTTGTTACAACATGTTACCTGATGAAGGGCTGTGTATATGGTGTAATTACAATGTAATCAATTCATTTTACAATATAGAAGTACAGTAATACTCTGTTCTTATTATTTTACTATTTGGGTGTCATTTTACTAAAGGATATTCATGTAGACTAGCAGCTTGATTGTGCATAGACATCCAATTGTATTTACTATGCGCTTGTAATGTGCAAGGGTATACACACACAGGCTACTATATATATACTGTGTGTATATATATATATATATATATATATATATATATATATATATATATATATATATACAGTGGGGCAAAAAAGTATTTAGTCAGCCACCAATTGTGCAAGTTCTCCCACTTACAAAGATGAGAGAGGCCTGTAATTGGCATCATAGGGAGACCTCAACTATGAGAGACAAAATGAGAAAACAAATCCAGACAATCACATTGGCTGATTTGGAAAGAATTTATTTGCAAATTATGGTGGAAAATAAGTATTTGGTCACCTACAAACAAGCAAGATTTCTGGCTCTCACAGACCTGTACCTTCTTCTTTAAGAGGCTCCTCTGTCCTGCACTCATTACCTGTATCAATGGCACCTGTTTGAACTTGTTATCAGTATAAAAGACACCTGTCCCCAACCTCAAACAGTCACACTCCAAACTCCACTATGGTGAAGACCAAAGAGCTGTCGAAGGACACCAGAAACAAAATTGTAGACCTGCACCAGGCTGGGAAGACTGAATCTGCAATAGGCAAGCAGCTTGGTGTGAACAAATCAACTGTGGGAGCAATAATTAGAAAATGGAAGACATACAAGACCACTGATAATCTCCCTCGATCTGGGGCTCCACGCAAGATCTCACCCCGTGGGGTCAAAATGATCACAAGAACGGTGAGCAAAAATCCCGGGACCACACGGGGGAACCTAGTGAATGACCTGCAGAGAGCTGGGACCAACATAACAAAGGCTACCATCAGTACACACTACGCCACCAGGGACTCAGATCCTGCAGTGCCAGACGTGTCCCCCTGCTTAAGCCAGTACATGTCGGAGCCTGTCTGAAGTTTGCTAGAGAGCATTTGGATGATCCAGAAGAGGATTGGGAGAATGTCATATGGTCAGATGAAACCAAAATAGAACTGTTTGGTAGAAACACAACTGGTCGTGTTTGGAGGAGAGAGAATGCTGAGTTGCATCCAAAGAACACCATACCTACTGTGAAGCATGGGGGTGGCAACATCATGCTTTGGGGCTGTTTCTCCGCAAAGGGACCAGGACGACTGATCCATGTACAGGACAGAATGAATGGGGCCATGTATCGTGAGATTTTGAGTGCAAACCTCCTTCCATCGGCAAGGGCATTGAAGATGAAACGTGGCTGGGTCTTCCAACATGACAATGATCCCAAACATACCTCCCGGGCAATGAAGGGGTGGCTTCGTAAGAAGCATTTCAAGGTCCTGGAGTGGCCTAGCCAGTCTCCAGATCTCAACCCCATAGAAAACCTTTGGAGGGAGTTGAAAGTCCGTGTTGCCCCCAAAACATCACTGCTCTAGAGGAGATCTGCATGGAGGATGGGCCAACATACCAGCAACAGTGTGTGCCAACCTTGTGAAGACTTACAGGAAACGTCTGACCTCTGTCATTGCCAACAAAGGATATATAACAAAGTATTGAGATGAACTTTTCATATTAACCAAATACTTATTTTCCACCATAATTTGCAAATAAATTCTTTCCAAATCAGCCAATGTGATTGTCTGGATTTTTTTTCTCATTTTGTCTCTCATAGTTGAGGTCTACCTATGATGCCAATTACAGGCCTCTCTCATCTTTGTAAGTGGGAGAACTTGCACAATTGGTGGCTGACTAAATACTTTTTTGCCAAAATTATTCAACCCCCAATGCTGTAAAGGGGTTTGGGCTATAAATCCTACAAGGACGCCCACTGTATATATATATACACATACATACACATATACATACACACACATATAGGTGTATTTCGGTTATACAAATTTAATGCATTCTCCAGGATGTTTCGTATTGTGAAAAATGCGTAAACCGAAGCGCGGTTTCCCATAGGACTGCATTAAAAACCAATTAATCAGTTCCAGGGGTCAGAAAAGTTTTTTTAAAAGTCGCTGTCACTATAGGTCAGTACCGGTTTTTAAATGTAATTACCGGCTTTTTATTTTCTTCACTATAGCTCAGAGAATCAGCTGTCACTTTCCCCCCAGATAAAAGAAACAAAGTTTCCTTTTAGTTTATTTCCCCGATTTGAAAGATACAATGTTTCCTTTTAGTTTGTTTCCCGAGATAAAAGAAACAAAGTTTCCTTTAGGTCCAGGGAAAGTGATAGCTAATTCTGTGAGCTATAGTGAAGAATAAAAAAGCCGGCAATTGCATTTAAAAATCAGCACCGACATACACTTTGTATTGCAAAAAAAATTAGTCAAAATATTCGTAAACCGAGGCATTATTTTGAATGGATTTTCATTCGTAAACCGAAAATTATGTTAACTGAGGCGTTCGTAAACCGAGGTACACCCAGTGGCGTATTTACCACAAGGCACTTGCCTAAGGCGGCATTTTTCAGGGGGTGCAGCACCTTCCCCCCAGAAGAAGTGATGAAAGAACGGACACGCAAGCCATAGGAACCAGTTGGGATTCGAGAGAGGCTGCAGGCTGCTTGATGGTGTATGTAGAGCCTGACTCTTGTTCCTGAGGATGTCTGGAGCTGTGCAGATGAGTGTCTCTTTCTCTCTATCACTGGTGGGGGGGGGTAGTGGAAGGTTCTCTCAGGTGGGGGGCAGGGGTGTTGTTGGTCAATGTCAGGCTCTTTCCACGTGAAGGGGAAGGGGGGGGTGTTGGTCAGTGTCCGTGGGGGGAAGATGTCTTTTGTGTTGCCTAGGGTAGCACAAAACCTAAATACACTACTGGGTACACATATATATATATATATATATATATATATATATATATATATATATATAAATAAAAACAAGTGTGGTTAGCTATCGAATGTACATTCCACCACATAGGAATAAAACTGTACTGCTATCATTAAAGCGACCCCAGGCCATTTCAACAGCAATCTTCCATCAAATTTTATCTGCATTTGATGTATGTTATGCATGTTAATTAGCTGTAAATGGTACATATTGAAGATTGCTACTGTGCCACCATCTTGGAAGTGATCTCAGCATCCCCAGCAAGATGTCATTCAAGTGATACTCCATAGCTTTCTTCTATCCGCCAGCAGCTACATAAAAGGTTATGTAGGGGGTAAAGGGAGGTGTAGATGGGCTAGGCCAGAGTAGACAGTAATGAGACACTGTCAGAAGGAGAGATCGGGCTGTGCTAAGGAACTGACTTTTCCTTAAGAAGTCAGTTTTGCTATCATGTTCATAGACACTTTGCAAGTGAAAAATTTTGTTTTTGTGTGTATAATAAAAAGCTGCAGGTAATTAATTAAAATACTTGCTCTCTTTTGTGTGTAGCGTCCTCTAGTGTAAATAGTTTGTTAAATGTAGTTAGAGGCTTGCTAGAAGCCTGAGTGTGAATCAGAGGGTTACTTCAGGTTAGGTAGGAGGACTCTGCAGGTCAGTCCTCTGGTACCTCCCCCTGCTCTAGAAGCTTGGAGAAGCTTCTAAAAACCAGTAGGTGGAGGTGAGGAAGGGCTAATCTGCATATTTATGGGAGTCTGGCCAATCCCAGGCAGGAGGCCTGGCAGGGTGGCAGGCTGGCCCATAAATATGACAGAGCCTGGCCAGTAAGGAAGTTAGGTGAAAGATGGATGGTTGAAGTGCTGCTGTATAGCTTGGGAGGGAGAGATCTGCAAAAGGGAGCTCCACTTCCTGCAGTCCATTGGGGAAGGACAGCCTGCATAGCCTGGAAACAAACCAGCCCAGGAGAGCCTGAAAGCAGTTCTATCCACAGCTGCAGGACAAGGACAGTGTGAGTACCTGTACACCCCTAGGGCTTTTCAGGGAGAAGTCTGCTAGATGCAAGTTCTTGGCAAGTCTTCAGTGGACAGTTTATTGCTCACCCAATCCCTTGTCATGGGATCAGATACCATTGTCAGGTGGGCTGGTATTTTTTTCACTAAGGTGACCGAGAGCTGCTACAAGTTGGGATTTGCTAAAAATCTACCCAGGGACACAAGACTCCTAGGAGGGGATTACTTTGCAAAACACTGTTGCTGTTCCGGAGCGAATACAGTCAAATGTCTTATGCTGCAATATGCCAAAGAAGGAATTTGTCCTCATTTTTGTCATTCTTCAAGTCAAATTGGACATTCTATAACACCTTTTCCTTAACCAAGTTGAAATCCCTAATAAATACAAAAAACCAAGCCCATGGACTATTTCTTTGCGTCTAGATACAAGTTGGAGAAATATGTGTTGCCTGGCCCAAAACCAGTGGCTTTCAAGGGAGGAGTTTTACCTGCATTTTTTTTTATTGGTGACAGGGTCTCTTTAAGGCTTTTCTTAACTGCTTTGATTAAAAAAATGTTCTCAGAATTCCGTGGGTGAAGTTCAGCTCACAATATACAGAAAGTTGAATGAGTCAATGAAATACACATGAAATCTCTCCAGTGTATAGGGATCAAAGGGGAGCAAAGCCAGCAAAGT